AGTATAGTATATAAAATCATACATTGCAATGTCCTACCTGTCAATGAATACTTCAGCTTCAACCATAGCAACACAAGAGCAATCAATAGATAGAAACTCAAGGTTAATTGCAACAAACTTGATTGCAGGAAATACGACTTCAGCAACCGAGTGGTCAATGTCTGGAATACTCTACCTGACTCTGGTTTCTTCCCCAAACCCCAAAAACTTTAACCTGAGACTTTCTACTGTTGACCTCACCCCTTTCCTAAGAGGTCTGTAGGGAGCATGCATAAGCGCACCAATGTGCCTACCGTCCCTGTCCTATTGTTTCTTTTATTTTTCTTATATGTATCCATGTATTCATAACTATGTTTTTACTTATACCTATTATCTTGTAAGCAATTGATAATACATCTGGAGGGCAATAATTGAGGGAAAACTATGCTATGCTCATGATCAAGCTTCCAATTGTAGAATTAATATTCCCCTGAAATTATTGGAGGATTGTGTTCTATATTACAAATCTATCAATAATTTCACAAATAACACTGATTCTTCCATTCAGAATAAAAAAAATATTAGTAACACTGATTATATTGGGAAAATAAATGCCATCTGTTCGTTGTCCTTGAAACAGTGTCCCACTGAACTAGAGAACATTTTGTTGACATCCATTCTGTGACAATAAACTCAGGATTGCAGGTTTTTAAAGGGGAAAAATGGGTTCAATCATTCTCCAGCAAAGACATCTTAAAGGTTTTGAATGTTATCATTAATTATCCAGAGTTTTATTTTGTAAGACACAAACCAACGAGCATCCTATTTATTACACTTCCTTTCTCTCATCAGTTCTCTTCAAATAGAAGCAGAAGAAAACCATCACCGATAAGCAGACTGAAATAAAATTAAACATCTGTTTATAAAACAAACCAGAGGACCACTGACAGCTGTAGCGGAATGGCAAATGTTCCACAGCTGCCAGGCTCCTAAATTAACCATGATATTCATTTACAAACAGCAAGTAACTAGGAAGTGATGGAGCTCTGCCTTTTTACTGCTTGCAATGCAGATGAATGAAGGATTCATTTCAAGAGGGGATCGAAAAGGACAGATCTGTAAAGGCCAGAGTTTGTTCCCATTAAAATCAACTTAAAACTCCTTTGGTGTGACTGGGCTTATAAATCAGATCTTAGCTCTTGATAATTCAGAGAATTTATCTTGCTCTTTTACAATGATTCCCACTGTTACTTCCCTTCGAAGTCTTTCAGAGCTAACCTAGATATAATTGTTCACCTCTGGAGATACTGAATGATTTTAAAATGTTGAAAATGACAATTTGTGAAAAATAAAAAAACCATTAGTTAAGAAATATACATATACATGAGCTGTGCTTTTACTTTTCTTTTGTTGCTTTCCAGATATTCATGTACATTTATTTAGCAGAGCTCCTAAATCCTTCCCAGTGAGCACTTATGCTTCAATAATAAATAGGAGCAGCATGACAATATGCTTGAGTTCTTCAGCACTGTAATTAATTAAAGAGGGGCAATTTAGCACGATCATCATAATCAGCTACTCAATATTTTTAGAATAACAGTTTCCAAGAAAACATGATTAAATTCTGAAATTTAGTAAATTGGTGTCTGCTGGACCTCACAAGCTACTTACTATCATTTAAATACTTGTATATCTATATCCCTTTAAATATATGAAGGGTTAATAATCTTTATATTATCAAAAAAGTAATTGGTTTTCTTTAGTGTAAGTTTTCATACCTGCTTAGACAATTAGTCTCACTTGCTCTTCTACCCTGCAAAGTTACTACAAGCCTCAAAGTAAGCCAAGAATTAACTTAGAAACCTAACTTGTTTTCTTAATTAACTTAGTGTGTTAGGTTTTAGAAATGTTCATCAAATCCCCATCTGGAATTGTCATGTGAACTTCATAGACAGTTCTTTCAACTTTATTGCATTTCAACTGGTTGAAATAAGAAATCTATAATAATCACCTGGTTGAATCAAACTAATGAATTTATCAAGCTTTTGCTAGCAAATATATTTGGTGAGTCACTATAAGAAGTTGTTTTTTAGGGAATTAAATAAAATGACTATGAAATTTATTTGGGCAGGAAAAAGAGCGAGGATAAAATTGAATGCACTACAAGATAATAGATGCAGAGGTGGATTTGGACTCCCTGCCTGGGAAATATATTATAAAGCCTTAATGTGGATCAAAGATTGGGTCAACTTAAAGAATAAAAGAATACTAACCTTAGAAGGGCATGATTTGCAGGCGGGGTGCTTAGTCCTTTATGATGTGAAACTGATCTTTGAAATACAGTGAAAACCAAAACAAAGGAACCCATCATTCGCATTAGTCATTCCTCATCCTATATTACACGTGAAATGAAGGTGATAGTGATGAGGTGACCAAATTTTTTTTGCTGTCTTTAGCCTTAGGATCTACTCTATTCCTACCCTCATTGAATATGGAGTTTCACAGGGAACCTTCACAAACTTTACATTTCCAAACTTTAGCCTTTATGTTTGGAAGGCAGTAAAGTCATAACTTCAGAAATGTGCTAGAAAGAGTAGGTCAAGGTGTCCTTACATAAAGGCAATCATTGAACCTCAAGCTTTTAAAATATCTTTTCATCACCAGCTGGTTCATCTTCCACATCCAAAATCTCAGGGGAGGGACAATTAACAATTTAATATTGAAGGAAATACTATTTGGGGAGCTGACAAAGCAAAGCTCTAAAAGATCTTCATGGTATTAACTTCTGAAGCCTGCATATATTTTGTTTTGCAAACATTCAACTTGATGTTCCAGCTGCACAGTTTCCCAAAGGATTGTGACTTTTAAAAATGCATGTAAATGATGTTCTAAATCTGCCAAATCTCTAATTTGGCAGGTTTTATGTCCTTTTCAAGTTTTTCAACCATCACATCCAAAAAGAGACACATGAATAAACCAGAAAAGGAATATTTATGCTGAAAGAAGCAAATTCTGTACTTTGCCTTTAAAAAAGAATAAAATGTTCTTTTCCAGTTTTACACGTGCACAATTTCTACCAAGACCAGGTTTTCAAATTACATTGTGCCAGTATAATTTGACATTTTAGAAGAATACATTATTGGAAGCAAATCAACAAACACAACACAGGTTTCATATATGATGGAAAACTGAAATTAATCAGGGAATAAATGTATAATATTTTAATAAATCATGCTATACAAGCACCAGATGGCTAAAATTGAAATCTCAAGTGCTTTTAATTTAAATACCTCATTTTTAAAGCTCATAACTACTTTCAATAATTATTTAAGAGTTTAAATAAATAAATTATAAGAATGCAGTGGATTGAACTCAATGATATCGTTTTGCTGATGGAAGCATTTTATCCTGAATTAGATAAGGCAAAATCATTCTCTGAAGACTTCTGATGCCTCAAATGCCTACTGTGGGATCTCTCAAGACAGCTAAGTAGATTTTGAAGAAAACTAGAAGCTGGGGGGTGGGGGGGGAGTTCCAGTTTTCAGGGACAGATTTTGTGCAATGGAGGGTTATTAGAGCAGCCAACTTGACCCACCAGTGTCTTATTATAATAGTCACAAAATTATATGCCTCACTGAAGTGTTGAATTCTTGGTTGAAGTATGCTTCCTCTGAGTTACCTAATCCTACAAAATGGATTGATGCTTATCAAAGAGTTATACTGAGTATAACATCATGACTATGTGCCAACTACTCATGAGTCAGCCTTTGACCTCAAGAAGACATATGCTTATTCTATCAAGATGGGTATACCTTGATTTATGCTTCAGAAATGTGTGGCTTATTTCTTTCCCATCACTGCACAAGTTTTCTTCATTTTAGCTAGACTCCTTTCAATCAGGGTTCAGGCTAGGGTTTGGGATTGAAGCAGCATTTATCACATTCATGGATGTGCTCTAGTGCAGTGGTCCCCAACCTTTTTTGTACCTTTTTGCTGATAAAAAGAGGTGAATAGTTATTATTCTCAGCCGAAGCTGCTCCCAAACAACCAGACAGGCAGGCAGGCAGAACGGAGCACTGAATTGAAGTGCGCGCGGGCGGGCGGGGTGGGGGTAAACGGGCACTTCGGAGGAGCTGCAGCGACAGGAAAAGCCACCACCCCCCGGCTTCTTTGAAGCAGTTTCTTCCTGGTCTGGTGGAGCAGCGAGAGAGCGATTGAGAGAGGAACGAGGCGGGGGGAAACCGAAGCTGCTGAGCCAGAGAGCAGGACAGGCTTCGGTTGCTTCCTCCCTCCCCTTCTTTCATTTGTGTCCTTGATCCCCGATCCCAGCAGCATTCACCGAAGGCGAAGAAAGCCACCATTTTTTAAAAAAAAAATTTCTTTGCGGCCCGGTACAGAGTGCTCCACGGACCGGTACCGGTCCGCGGCCCGGTGGTTGAGGACCCCTGCTCTAGTGGATGTTAAACTTCTCCATGCCCCTTGAATGATGCTATGTTTGGAGAGTGTTTGGGTCTGGATAGGGCAAAAGGGGCTCCAATTCAAGTCTAGCAAGACAGAGTGGCTGTGGGATTTATTTGGAGATTTGAGAGACAAGATTCTTCTGGATGGGGTGGCACTACCTCAGACAGATCTGGAGATCCTCCTAGACCAGAGTTGGGGAATTATGGATCTTTTATGATTGTGGTATGGACTTCAACTCCAAGAATTCCTGAGCCAGAGGTAGCAAAAAGATCTACATATGCTCATGCCCCCATCATAACATTATTAGAATGGAATCATATGGACCATGCACAAATTGTATTATACAAAAGATAACATGTGTATGTGTTTGTAGTAAATTTTCTGTATAAATTTTTCCCCAATGTTTACAGGCATTCAGAGCATTAAACCTCGAGAATGATTGCTTCTGAGGATCTCATAGTACAGCTAAAGTGAGGCTAAAATTGGTGTAAAGTCATAAAGGACAGTATATGTAGCAAACTATGCTTTCAATCATATATTTAGACCATAAATTTACTTACTTCAAAATTACACAGCCCGTGCCCAAAGAAGGAGCTGTCCAAAACACCTGAATGCGAGTCCTCCTCCTTGGTGTACTCTCTGTCACAGCCACAGGACAATTACTCATGAACTGTGTTTCTTCTTCATCTATAATCTATACATGAAGAAGCAAAAGGTTAATAGAAACACCACCACCTATTTAGAAAGTGAATAAAGGTTCTTGACATTAATATACATACATACATACATATACATACATACATACATACATACATACATACATACATACATACATACGAATTTCTGGACCGTAAGGAAAAGGGGAAATTGAGGTAAAACCCTCAAAAGAATGCTGGATTTTTTTCCAAAGGGGTGGGGGGACAGCTTTGCAGAAATCTGATCTGTAATGTGTCATTAAAAGTTAAATTCATTTTAGTAATTACAAGAAGAAAATAATACAGTATGCATCATTGTTCTTATCTGAGATATAGGAACTGGCAGCTATGGCTAGAATAATACAAGCCACAGAGTATAATATGAAAAGGCACACTATAATTCTTCTGAATTCAAGGTTCTGTAATACCCACCAATCTGATATAAATTATATTTTCATCTATCTATGACACCACTGTCTTTTTTTTTACTAGTGTTTGAGTTAAGATGTATAAATCCTCCATTTATAGAACTTGCAACTGGTAAATAAAAAGAGAAGAGAAAGAGCATTAGCTTATCTCCTTGAAATAAAAAAAAACACCAGCTTCCATGTCATATCAATGCAGAATCTAATAGCATTTTTTCAGTTTTACAGAATTGTAGAGAAGGAGGGCTATTGAGGCTACTAAAACCAACTCCCTATGGCTACTAAAACCAACTCCCTACTTAGCTCAGAAATCCAAACTAAAGCATCTCCACAGATGCCTACCCAGCTTCTTACATTTATGTATCTAGAGTATATATCTCTCTCTTGGCACCTGAGGAGAAGGGTCATTTTGTTTTTAACCTTGATTTAATTGCTGAATGTGAGCTGCCCAGAATCATTCCATGAAATGGGTCGCCATGTAAGTTCTTAATAAAAAAAATAAAGTGAGGTATGAGGTGTGAGGGGTGAGGGGTGAGGGGAGGAGAGGAGAGAAGATAATAAAAATGACATAAACTGCCCTTACTTTTAAGAAGTTTCTCCTACCATTAAATTCCTGGAACTTAAAACCATCATTCCATCTCCTGTGGTCTGGGATAGTGATAAATGTGATCTGACTATCCATCTGGTACTGCTGCTGATTTTTGAATTATGCAATTATTTCTGCCCCAGACATCTTTTTCTCATGCTAAGCGTATCTAATTTATTCTTACTGGTTATGCCAATCAGGCTGAAACTTTGTTTACTCTTTCCTTTCTGTTTTAAAATTGCCATTTTATCTTTTGCACAGGTTTCAAGGTGAAAAGTATTTAACAAAACATTATCAACTCTAAAATAACAACCGTAAAAAGTGGCATAAGACTAATAAACAACAAGCCAAAAATAGTAGACTGATTCCCAAGGATAAGAAACATATATCCTGGGAAAGAGCAGCTAAATTCAGGAAGCTGGTATTGGGTTTTTTCCCCTTTAAGGAGATACGTCAAGTTTTGGATACAACCACAGAGAAGGAGTTCTCTTTTCTAGCCATGTATCCAGGGGTGGGATTCTACCAGTTTGCACCTATTCGCTAGAACTGGTTGTTAACATTCTAAGCAGTTTGGAGAACTGGTTGTTAGAAGAAATTACTGGCCTAATCCTGTAAGGAAGGCAGGAAGGAAACATTCTAGGGGTTGCTTACAGAAACTGTCTCTCCGTTAACCCTTATCACATTCTTGGCAGGACTAGACTTCCTGTCTCAGGAACTTCTCTGGAGTTTTTCCCCCTCCTTTGCTGGTACTTTGCTTGCGTGGAGTGACCATTCAAAGTTACAATGGTACTGAAAAAAGTGACTTATGACCATTTTTCACACGACTGTTGCAGCATCCCCACAGTCATGAGAGGCCAGGCGAGGAGATGCGTGCCTCGATGTGAGTGATATTGAGTTGGCCATGCCCAGCCAATAACATGACCACCAAGCCATGTTCACCCAGTCACATGACCACCAAGCCACACCCAACTAAGCCACACCCACAGAACCAGTTGTTAAAATATTTGAATCCCACCCCTGCATGTATCTTATTAGAAGGTGGAGATAATCTCAGAAAGTTATTTTTAGAGAGGTTCAAACTGCCTCAAGTTTTAAGAAGCAAAGCTTTAATTGATTTAAGAAGCAAAGATTTAATTGATTTAGAAATTTAAAAGACAGTCTGACTGCATTTGTATTTCTGCATTTGAAATGTAGTCATTGCTTTTTGCTCATGCTGTGGATAGTTGATTTAAACATCAAAAATACACTATTAAATGTAAAACCAATACAATAATAATGGAAAAAAGCTAGTGGTAAAAGTGCATTATTATAACAGAGCTAAGATGACCTTGTATCTGCTCCATGTTATGAATTAAAAGAGCAGTTTTAACATAATGGATTCAAAAGAAATAGTAGATGGGAGTCTCGAAGCCGCTACGGAAGATCATAATAAATACCATGCTAATGTTAATACATATTAATGTTCAATAGTTAATTTTGAAGTTAATAAATATTAACATATAAATGCTAATAAATATTAAATATTATAGGAAGCAGTCCTGTTTCCTCTAGACAGTCTGGATTACAACTCCTGTATAAATGAGCATTAAGGTGAGAGTCAGGGTTTTTCGCACCAGAAAAGGCAATTATGCAAATATTCAAGAATGATTCAGCTTTAGGTTCACCAAGCATTCACTGAACTGTGAGAAAAGCAAGAAGAAAAAGCAATGGGTTTTAACCACTGCATATAAGCGGGAGTCTGCATCCTTATGTTGGCAATGGGCAATCTGTTCTTTCATTTGGTGTCATTCTGATTTGCCATAAAGATTCTTATCTAGCCTATGAGTCTTCTGCCAAGGTCTTAACATAGGAAGTAAGCTGAGTATGGTCAGGATGTCTGTGGGATTGTAAATTCTGTAATGTTCAGTAGTCTTTGTTTAATGGCCACTCATTCAGCAAAGTTCAACCTTACAACAACACTGAATTAGTGCTTGTTACAATTAGTTCTCATACTCATGCTATTGCAGAGTCCCTGCAATTAGAATAACAGAGTTGGAAGGGATCTTGGAGATCTTCTAGTCCACGGCTGTCAAACTCACCACGTCATGTTGCTGTCATGTGATGTTTCATGATGTTTTCCCCATTTGTGGAGTTGGGGTGGGCATGGCCTGTGCAATGACACATCCAGCCCACTGGCCGCCAGTTTGATCCCCTTTTCTAATCCAATTGCCTGATCAGGCAGGAATTCCTATACCATTTCAGACTAATGATTGTCCAGTCTCTTCTTTAAAATTTCCAGTGTTGGAGCATTTACAAGTTCTGGAGGCAAATTGTTCCCCCTGATTAATTGTTCTAACTGTCAGGAAATTTCTCCTTAGTTGTAGGTTGCTTCTCTCCTTGATCACATGATTGTGATCTAGGTGCTCAATGTCTGTATCGCGATTACAATGTCTCATCATCCTACGGTCATGTGATTGTAATTTGTAATCTTCCCAGCCAACTTCTGATAAACAAAGTCAGTGGGGAAGCTGGCAGCAAGTCACATGTAGTAGCCATACGAAGTCCTCCCTTAATCCATTCAGTGCTTGTTTAACAATGACAATCGAGACTGCTGGAATTAAGAGGCACAGCCATGTAGGTTTATTTTTATTTATGACTGGATTTCTTAACAGTGGAGTTTCATGTCTCAATTAGCATAGTTAAGTGAGGATTACCTGAGTTACAACAGTCAGACAACATGCCTTAGGTTATGGGCGTAGTAACTGAACAATATGTGAAAGATACCAAGTTTCGTTGATGATTTCATCCCTACAATTTATAGACCCATTCATCCTAACAGAAGCATAGACAAAAATGTCAGTGGTTTCGAGTGTTGATTCATAGATATATGAATTAAATAAGATTCCCTGTATCCAAGGTAGATTATCTTCAGAAAGTGAGCTGAAGATAATGGCAGCCTAGGTGACTAAGTAATTCCCAATTTTAACCCCATTTTCTTTTTAAAAAAATATTCAACAATGTTGTTTCCATGCTCATTCTTTTATTTGGAATTGCCATTCTTTGTTCATAGTTATTTTTACAGGGAAACTATACAATATTCTTGGTAGATGGTTAATGTTTTCTGCATACCTCCTCTGTTTTCATATAGAATCTCAGATAATTATTATTGTAAGGAAACACAATCATACTCATTAACACAGCAAAGACAAACCATATGCTCTTAAAGGACACAGTTTCTTTCAGATGAAAGTTTTCAGTTTCTGGTTAGTCAACTTTAATTTTTTTGTGTTCAAGACTGCTGGAAATTAATACTGAATCAGATCTTAATTGCTCCCTACAGTATTTCATTTATGACTGTCACCTATGAAGAAAAGGGCATAAAATTACTCATTTTTCTCTCTCTATAGTAAAGTAGCACTATTTTTCCATATTGGAAAGGAAGAAAAGGAAGAAATAATGAATAAATTCAATATCCTTTTTTTGCCTGGGGACTGAAGTTAAACAAAGAACAATTAAGAGACAATTCACTATTAATTTGCCTCCTGCCCATTGCTGTGCTATGCAGGAAAGCAATACAGTTGGACAGATCTGCAAAGTGAAAGCTTTTGATTAGTGTAGAAGAGATACTTCCTAAATGAAATTCACTTGTGAATTAAAAGTAGAGGAAAAACTTTGGCAAATGGAAGTATGTTTCTAGTTAATATAATGCCATCTTGGGTATTGAGTGGCATCTTTGTTTATATTACACTTTCAACAAGTTGGGGAAAAGCCATGCCTGATAGTGTGAAAAAGCTCTGATATAAAAACAACTTAGTTGGTATTCAACAAATCACTCTCCTGAACTCAGTCTCCATTTACAAAACAAAGTTGTCTACCTTAGAGAGTTGTGGTAAGAACTCATCTGAATATTCTAAAATGCTATAATGCCATTACTGCACTTGGTACTGCTGATAATACACAGCTCTGTTGCCTGAATCCTGAGCAGTTCTTTTAGATTCTATATAAAACA